TGCTTCTGGCTCATCACCTTCATCGTGTGCGCCGCGTTCTTCGTCGTGTCCATCATCATGGCTGCGTGGCCAGACTCCTGGGATGCACGCATCGTCGATGACATGTCGCAACGCATAACCTCATCCTCATGCTGCTGGGCCTGATCTCCTTCATTTCCCGGTCGGCCGTTGTCTCCTCTCCGTGGTGCAGTCCACCATACAGGGCGCTGCCAACATGAATGTGTGTGTGTGTGTGTGTGTGTGTGTGTGTGTGTGTGTGTGTGTGTGTGTGTGTGTGTGTGTGTGTGTGTGTGTGATGTGTTGCGACCACTTTCGCGTTTTCTCTTCACATCCACCACTGCAGTGAATGAGAGAGCGCTGTACGTGCCTTCTTTGCTCACGTTTGCATGCGTGCACACGTGTTGCTGATCCACCCACACTTGCGCTTGCGTTGGTGCAATTCCACCTCAGGGCTGCGTACCTGTGCTCCCTGGTCGTCCTCATTGTTGCACCCGCCTCCCAGCGACCTCTTCTTTGGAGACCGGCATTCTCCTTCTTCACCTTTGTGTCGCCCGGGCGGTACATCGAACACCTCGCCAAAGGCAACATCTCCAGCCTGATGAAGGAAGGTACAGTCAACGGCAACCGCGTGGAGGAGCGAATTGACACCGGGCTCGTGCAGCGCGGCGACGACCTAAAGGTGCGTGATTGTGTTGATGGTGGTGGGGTAGGGAGTTGTGGTGGTGCTTACATGTGGTGGTGGGTGATGGCGAGTGGGTGGTTGATTGTAGCAGCAGCAGCAGCAATGTGTGGCAGTTGTTGCAACCTCAGCTGTGGTTGTAGCAGCCGCCTGATATGCACTGTCGTCACATCTCGCTCACCCTTCCTCACGTTCTTGGATGTAGGTGGTGGCTGGTGACAAAGTGCCTGTGGATTGGATGGACGCGTGCTGGAGGATGCCGGTGAAATGGACGAGGCCGTGATCACGGGGCGAATCAACACTCGTCTCGTCTCCAAAGGCGTTATTGTCGTATGGGCGGCACCATGGTGCATGGTCTTTGAGGCCACGCATGTTGGCAGTGTGTCAAAGGCGCCCATCCAGCAGAGGTGTGTGTGGTGGATGCAATATGCTACAACACCGTTTCACACGTGCCTGTCAATGTTTCTGCAGACGTTTCCACTCACACACATACCCACAAGCACTCCTTTCCTTTCCCTCCGTGTTCTTTCCCAGACAAGCTGGCGGGGCGCCTTGTGTCAGGCATCGTGCTGCTGTTGGTATGTGGGTTGCGCTGCTGACCTCGGGGGCCGCTGACACATTGGAGCCCACGTTCGGTGTGTGTGTGTGTGTGTGTGTGTGTGTGTGTGTGTGTGTGTGTGTGTGTGTGTGTGTGTGTGTGTGTGTGTGTGTGTGTGTGTGTGTGTGTGTGCGTGTGTGGTGCTTCGTACTGGTGCTCGCGAGTCGTGGTTAGAGAACACTCACACCTCCATGCCCACACTCACCTTCACACACTCACACACACACACACACTCTCTCTCTCTCTCACTCTCTCTCTCTCTCACTCTCTCTCAACTCCCCCTCCCTACAGGCCGTGCTTGACAAGATGAGAACGCTGACAGTTGGATGGCCACAAGTCACGTGTGTGCGCGTGCTCGGCGATGATGACACGAGGACGGACGAGGACACCCCGTCGAAGCTGGTGGCGGCTGCAGAGGCAAACAGTGAACATGCCTCTGGGCCAGGCGATTATGGCGCACGTCGGCGCTGTCTCCCGCAACGGACTTCAAGACGGTCTCTGGTCGGGGCATCTCAGCAACCGTGGACAGCAAGCCCATTGTCATTGGCATGCCCATTGTGGTGTTGGCAATCCCACGCCATCAGCGGCAAATAGCGGCAGACGATGCACGAAGACGACGAGACGCGTGGCTGCACGGTCGTTGTGTGCTCGGCAGACGGCAACCTCCTGCCCAGGCTACGTTTGGTCTCGCTGACATGTGCAAGCCCCAGAGGCGAAGAGGGTGGTGCGCCTGCTGCGCCCGCACGGCCTGACCATGGCCATGCTCACGGGCGACAAGGAGGGCACTGCGCGGTCCATTGGAGGCAGAGGTTGGCATCGACAACGTGTTTGCAGCAGCGTGCAAGAACTGCAGGCGAAAGGGCGAGGTGGTGGTGATGGTTGGCGTCGGCATCAACATTGAGTCAGCGGACTGCGTTCTGATGATCAAGGACAACCTGCTTGCTGGAGGTGTTTTCTGGCCATGAACCTGTTGCATGCGGCCGTGCTCCGCATCCACTACAACGTTCATCTGGGCCGTGTGGTCTGCAACGCTGCTGGCGGGTGCAGGTGGTGAACGCGTGCGCTGCTGTTGCATCCTGGAGCGACTCCGCTGACGTGCCCTTCGTGGCTTTGCGGCTGCAGCCATCCACTGGTCGTGGCGCGTGGCCACCTGTCCAGCGACACCAACGCCGGAGTGCACACGATCCGCCAAAGCACCAGCGTCCACGTCTCGGAGATCCAATCCATCGCAACAGCCACCACTTCGTCACTTTCTCCTGTGCTCCTGTGGCATCATTTTGGCGAGGGCGATGGCTTCATCGGTACCATCAGCGTGTCTGCGAGCGGAGACCAGCACCTGCTTTTATCGGAAGGCCGGTAGTTTTGGCAGTGTACAGCCTGACCTCCTCCTCCTCCTCGTCGCTGCGCGTGTCCCTGATCCACAGCCCTCTTGCAGCAGTGCACTCCTGGCCGCTGCCGGTTATGGTGGCGCAACGTATTTGGGACTTGGACAAGCCCTTGTCGTGTGGCCGCTCCGCCGCCCTCCGTTTGGTGGCCAGCACGATCGATCAGAGGCAACAGCGGGGGTGTGCACCAGCCCTGCGATGGTAAGCGCGTCCTGACCGCGTACACCCTGGAGCAGTGGAACACGACATGTGTTGTCATTGTGCAGTGGAGCACGCGAGGCTGGCAGCCCATCACTCAGCA